AATGATGATGCAAAAAGACTATGTATATAGTTCAAATGGTAAAGATTCTCAGGCAAATCTTAGAGCTCGTCGGTTTGAGAGACACTTGGGAAGAGACCATATAAATGTTCTGGTCCCTGATCTGAGAGGATATACGGACCCAGGCCTAGAATCTCTTAATTATTCAAAAAAACAAAAAACAAGAAAAACGATGTAAATAAAAGAAATGACCAAAATATTCTGCATTTTTTAAAGTATTCATCATAAGCACTTTAAAAATGATGGAGGTTTTTAAAAGTGTTATTCATATAAATTAAACAAGTTATATATTTAATTTCAGTAACATATTTGTTTACCTATGATATGGCGTGATTTTTCTTTTAAATAACAAAAAGGTGATTAGAATCTTCTGAATATTTTTAAAGTTAACCATTCAATCATATATATAAGAAGGATCAAAGAACTTCCAAAATTATTAATATAGAATAAGGAAGTTATGCGTTACAAAAGATTAAGAAATTTATTTTATTAATTACAAAATATTATTATTTAAAAATTACTCGTTAATAATCATAAGTACACACACAATTAGGAGTACTACCAACTTTGGATGCAATACATTCTCTAACTCCATTGCGCTCCGCATAGCAGTTTAGACGACAGTCATCAGGGTAACATGGAGATAGATCAATGAGTAGAGTACAACGTCTATCTCCCTTAGCCTTCTCAACAACTGAAAAAACTAAAAAAGTAAAATACCATATGTTATAACATAAAACTATATATGTGTATACGCTTAGATATTTTATGTAATGTAAAGATGAAAACTAATTTTTGATTTTAGAAGTGGAAAACATTTAATTACCTGACAAAACAAGCATGAGTATGAGGAAATAAGAACATGATATCTTGGCCATGATCAATGTATCACAACAAAAGAAAGCTACTAATGTTTTGTAAATTAGAGATGATAAATGAAAAACTCTTTTCTTTGCTTTATTTTTATGTAACGTTTGTGTATATATATATACGGGTATAAATATAAACAGAAATAAAAATAAAAGGAACGTGAATGAATGTTGATAATTGTAGGGTTTGACTACATTGATTACGATCTGCACTTTCTCATTGTAGTAAAATTATAGCAATTATCTTATTTCATAGAAAGAATTTTTCTTTTCCTTTCCTGATGCTTCTTTCATGTGTAATACGTTTTATCTCTATCAATTTCTATACTTAAAAAGTGCAGTCAACGTCCAAACAAATAATTATTACATTAACATAAAAGTCTTGGCTAGTTCTGAAATAAATGTGACAACATAAAAATAATAAAAGAGCCACATATTTAAGGTGGTAAATAGAAGTTCAAGGAAAATATCTTAAAATAACTTTAAAATAAGTTTTACGTAAAATTATAGCACATACTTTTTAAATTTTTAAAAATATTAATAGTTGTTGATACAATGACTATTTTGTCTTTATCTAAAAAGTTTTTCAACAATTAATATACAGACTAAACAGTTGTAAATCGCATCATAGTGACATGAGATTACATTTTTATGAATGTAATATTGAACTGTTTTCAACAACTTAGTGATTAAATTAAAACACTTTAAATATTGTTTAACAGAAAAGAATCCACAAGATTATACAATGATAATGTTGCATGTGTTTCCCAAATCAAAGAAGGTTATATCAAGAGCGAGAGAACAAAACATATCCTTCAAAATTCTTCTTCTGCACTCAAGAACTTGAGAAGAACAAGAAAGTCGATATTTAGTACATCCGCTCAAGTGAAAATACAGCAGATCTATTCACAAAAGTTCTTCTGACTACCACATTCAGAAAACATATTCATAGTATCGGAATGCGTCATCTACAGGACCTATAATACAATGGTTATATATATTTTCTAGGGGGAGTCTACGTGACTGTGCTCTTTTTCCGTTATCAAGGTTTTTATCCCAATGAGTTTTTTCGTGATAAGATTTTCAACAATGCAGTACGTGACTCGTCAAAGGTGATAGATACTCAAGAGAGAATATGGTGAAGCAAGTGTAATTCTCCATCACAACACATGACATATACACATGTCCATAAAATGGACACTAATCCTGAAAGATTAACACTTGTAAACACACCATCCCCACTTGTTGTTTCTCCTCTACACTTGTCATTGTCTCCTCAACAAAAGCATGACTCAGCATCCTCTCTTCTCCTTTATAAATAGGAGCTTGTTCAAGAAGAGAAATATTATAGAAAGTTAGAGTAATAAAAATCCTCAAGAGGTTCTCTCTTCTTTTTCTTTTGATTTCATATTTTAATGTTACGATTTATATTTTACAATATATGCTATGTTTATGGTTGTGAGGTTTTTTTTTTCTTGATGAAATGTGAAATTGATTACTTAAATGAGACCTTTATAAGCTGTTTTATCAACAAGAGAAAATAGAGTAGTTGTACATAAACTATCTGCGAACTCTAGACCGAAACCACTCTTGGAGCAATCCTCTTAAATTCCTGGATTCGACATAGCGCAGCGACATAATACGAGTACAGACTGATTTCTCAATAGTTTTTGCAACGTGGGTATGCGAACATGAACTCTTGTTGTGCCTCCTATCATTACGTTCACGCCATAGACATTATATTGTAGCTTGGAAAGCTATCCGAAGAAGAATGTAACGGTCTCCTACTTGTTGTTGTGTACACAAGCCAAGAAGAGTGTTAGTCTAATCCGGATCCGGGTCCGGTTGCATCAAACCTCCCGCAACGTCTAACCAGACCAGGTATGAGAAAGGACACGCAAAGAACAAGTGGTCACGCGACTCCTCCCTTTCACCACCCAAAACACACGGTTGGACACCACCCCATTGCCTCATGTGAACCCCCGTCGATAACCTATCATTGATGGCCAGCCAAGCGATGAAAGCAAATCGAGGAACTGCTTGAGGGAACCATATTACCTTAGCCCAGTCCTTATCCTCTCTGCGAGTCCGGAGCTGGTCCCAAGTCCTTGCAGCAGAGAAGATTGGTCTGTAATCATCTGAAGAGTGACGCCATAAGTGTGTGTCTTTACCATTAGCACTCGTCGGAACTACCACACGACGGACTTGTCTCTTTATTTCTTCCAATGTTGTGAGGTTTATTACACTTTAGCTCTACTTTTAAGAGATATTTCAGATATTATAGTTTCTATTAGCAATCTCGTTGATTAAAAATTTAAAATAATATTGGCAAACATCAATTATATGAAAGTGAAAATGATAAATAAATTTAAGTTGAAAATATATTTATTTGTTTAATCCAATGTTAATTAGCAACCTTGTCATAAAAAGTTTTTGGTTACGTGGTTGACTAATTTGACATAAGTTCTTTTATTTAAGCTAACATGTTAAATTCTCATAATATACAATTTTGATCATTCCCAAAAGATATTTAGTGTTGCTGATTTATACACTATGTGGAGTCATCTTTTATTGTGAATTATTAATCTATCCATTGTACACAGTAGATTTTCTTGTAAATTTTAAAATCATTGTATACGTATAGTAGATTGTTGTAAACTATTGAAATCGGCCAACAATCTTACGAATGATGATGCCACAAAAAAAAAAAAAAAGACTATGTATATAGTTCAAATGGTAAAGATTCTCAGGCAAATCTTAGAGCTCGTTGGTTTGAGAGACATTTGGGAAGAGACCATATAAATGTTCTGGTCCCTGATCGGATAGGATATACGGATCCAGGCCCAGAATCTCTTAATTATTCAAAAACATAAACAAAAAAATGATGTAAATAAATAAATGATCGAAATATTCTGAATTTTTTAAAAGTATTCATCATAAGCACTTTCAAAATGATGGGGGTCTTTAAAAGTTTTATTCATATAGATAAAACAAGTTATATATTTAATTTCAGTAACATATTTGTTTACCTATGATATGGCCGTGATTTTTCTTTTAAATAACAAAAAGGTGATTAGAATCTTCTGAATATTTTTAAAGTTAACCATTCAATCATATATATAAGAAGGATCAAAGAACTTCCAAAATTATTCATATAGAATAAGGAAGTTATGCGTTACAAAAGATTAAGAAATTTATTTTATTAATTATACAATATTATTATTTAAAAAATTACTCGTTAACAATCATAAGTACACACACAATTAGGAGTACTACCAACTTTGGATGCAATACATTCTCCAACTCCATTGCGCTCCGCATAGCAGTTTAGACGACAGTCATCAGGGTAACATGGAGATAGATCAATGAGTAGAGTACAACGTCTATCTCCCTTAGCCTTCTCAACAACTGAAAAAACTAAAAAAGTAAAATACCATATGTTATAACATAAAACTATATATGTGTATACGCTTAGATATTTTATGTAATGTAAAGATGAAAACTAATTTTTGATTTTAGAAGTGGAAAACATGAAATTACCTGACAAAACAAGTATGAGTATGAGGAAATAAGAACATGATATCTTGGCCATGATCAATGTATCACAACAAAAGAAAGCTACTAATGTTTTGTAAATTAGAGATGATAAATGAAAAAACTCTTTTCTTTGCTTTATTGTTATGTAACGTTTGTGTATGTATATATATATACGGGTATAAATATAAACAGAAATAAAAATAAAAGGAACGTGAATGAATGTTGATAATTGTAGGGTTTGACTACATTGATTACGATCTGCACTTTCTCACTGTAGTAAAATTATAGCAATTATCTTATTTCATAGAAAGAATTTTTCTTTTCCTTTCCTGATGCTTCTCTCATGTGTAATACGTTTTATCTCTATCAATTTCTATCTTAAAAAGTGTAGTCAAAGTTCAAACAAATAATTATTACATTAACATAAAAGTCTTGGCTAGTTCTGAAATAAATGTGACAACATAAAAATAATAAAGAGCCACATATTTTAGGTGGTAAATAGAATCTGAAGAAAAATATCTTAAAATAACTTTAAAATAAGTTTTACGGACAATTATAGCACATACTTTATAAATTTTTAAAAATATCAATAGTTGTTGATACAATGACTATTTTGTCTGTATCTAAAAAGTTTTTCAAAGATGTGCCGTCTCCTGTAGCACAATGCGATCCGCTACCTGAAGTTGTGAATGGTGTGGCCAGAATCACTATTCCTGAGGAACTATTTGTTGATGCAGTGCCTTTGCGGAAAAGCTTTGTGGTGGGTCATTTCCTAGGAGATGTTCCACATGTGGGTACAATTCATGCAACAGTAAATCGTATTTGGACCATACTCGATAAGTCCTCACAGATTGATGTGCAGGTCCTTAATAAAACCACGGTTTTATTCCGAATCCCAAATGCTCGGATTCGCGATCGAGTTTTGAACCGCAAGTACTAGCACATCGCGGATATTCCTTTGGTGGTTAATGAGTGGAATCCTGAAACATCACTAGCTCCTCCCGACCTCTCTGCTATGCCGATGTGGATTGATCTAAAGGGAGTTCATGGGTTTGTTTTCTCTCATAAGGGACTAGAATTCATTTCTAGATCAGTAGGAAAGTTTGTGAAGCTCCATCCGAATACAGAGCGATGTTTTAGATTGGATGTAGCAAGACTTTTGGTAGAAGTCAATTTGCAAAAGCCTTTAACAGAGCAAATTAGCTTTGCCAATGAAAAAGGAGAAGAGATCCTTGTGTCAGTTAGTTACCCGTGGCTGCCTCCTAAATGTAAGCTTTGCTCACACTGGGGACACTTGGAAAAGGATTGTTCTACAGGGGAAAAAGTGAAAATAGCTTCAAAGCTTAAAGATACAAGTGTCAAACCTGTTTTAGAGAAGAAGCAGGAAGAAGACCGCGAAACAACTGCTACAGTTCAGGAACTGGCTCAGAATCTGCTGCGTGATCTTGAACAATCTTCTCCATTTCAGATCCCTGTCTCAGAGAAAACTGACATGGTGGAGGAAGGGGCTACAAAAAACAGTCCTTTAGAGGAACAATGGATTACAGAAAAGAGGCAATGGAAACAGCTCCTCCCCTAGTCGGAATAAGTCTGCGATGATTTTGACTTCAGCTCCGGTCTCTCCAACGGGTTTTCGAGTGCTTACTGTGGAGGGTGAAGAGGAACTAAATGTTCAGAATCAAAACAACTCAGCTCCAATTATATCCGGTGAAAGAAAGGAGGGTGAAGTAATTGAATCGGATCAGAAGGAAGTCCTGGAGGAAGAGGGAAACCAAGATTCTCTGCCTATCGTGTCCGGTCCTACTACTAGCCAAATCCCAAAGATTAGTACAGGTCGTCATCGAAGTCGTTCTAGAGGACCAGTCAAACCAATAACGCAAAGAAAGGATACTGGTCACAAAGGCTCTAAAAAGACTTCCTCTCGGAAGCTATGACGTCTTTCTTTAAATAGAACATGCGGGATTTCAATATGCCTCGCAAACACAATGTGGTCAAGAGTTGGATACAAGCTGTGAGACCTTCTTTTGGGTGTTTTCTAGAGACTCGTGTCCAAGAGTCAAATGCGAATTCTATCATCTCTTATACCTTACCAGGATGGTCATCAATCTCGAATTATGATCATCATAGGTTGGGTAGGATTTGGGTTTGTTGGATCGATGATGTGACGATTACTCCAGTTCTTAAGAGTTCCCAACACATCACTTGTGTAATTACTATTGTAAGCTCGGGAATGAGCTTCCTGTGCTCCTTTGTTTACGCTTCAAATTTTGTTGTGGATCGTCGCTTTCTATGGTCAGATCTTTGTCACTTAAAGTCTACAATGCTGCAGGCCCAAATGCCATGGGTGGTTATAGGTGATTTTAATGAGGTTTTATCCTTGACTGATCATTCAAGAGCTACAGATTATGCCTTTAACACTATTGGAATGCAAGACTTTCAAAACATGGTATCCTTCTGTGATCTAGGGGACCTTTCTTCTACTGGAACTAAATTCACTTGGATCAATAATCAGGACGCAGACCCTATTGGAAAGAAACTAGACAGAGCTATAGTCAATCCGGATTGGCTAACTCAATTTCCGCATTCTCATGCCATCTTTGAGGCAGGGGGAATTTCAGACCACTCTCGATGCATCATCCATCTGTCCATGACCAATGCTCAACACCGTAAGCCGTTCAAGTTTTTTAATTTCTTGACATCTCACCCGCAGTTTCTTTCAACAGTAGGCCAGGTCTGGTCCGAAGAAGCTCCGCTTTATCACTCTAGAGTTGCTCTTTCTCTCTTTAACCGGAAGTTAAAAGAAGTTGAAGTCACCTCTCCGATCTTTGAACAGAACGCACTTTGGTAACTTGCCTAGACGAACAAAGGAGGCCTATGACCTCTACTGCTCGATGCAAGCTACTATGCTCTCCGTCCCTTCACAGTCTAACATCGCAGCACTAACTCAGTCATTCGAAAATTGGCAGAGATTAGCAACTTTAGAAGAGCCGTTTTTTAGCCAGAAATCAAGAATAAAATGGTTGAGTTGTGGAGATCAGAATACCACCTATTTTCACAGAGTAGCTCAGTCTAATGCAAACTGAAACGCTATTAGGCAGCTTACTTTCGTGAGTTTTTACAGAAGGAGGCTGAAAATGTGGAAGAGATAACAGTGGAACACATCCGTGATTTATTGGACTACATGTGCTCTTCGGAGCGGTGCTCTGAGTTAACAAAACCTGTTACAAGCGAAGAAGTGAGCAAAGCTTTACACTCTCTACCATCCGGAAAAGCTTGCGGTCCGGATGGGTATACGAAAGAAATTTTTATCGCTGCTTGGAGTATTATTGGAGTCGACGTGGTAGTTGCTGTCCAATCTTTCTTCTTATTTGGTCAAATGCCGAGATCAGTGAATGCCACTCTCTTGACACTAATCCCAAAAAATTCTGGTGCTTCGTCATCTACAATAAAAGATTTCAGGCCAATATCTTGCTGCAATGTTTTGTACAAGATTATTTCAAAAATCCTAGCTAATAGATTGAAGATCTTGCTACCAGATTTTATAGAGCCTAACCAAAGTGCGTTTGTGAAAGGCCGTCTACTGTTGGAAAACATTCTGTTAGCAACTGAATTGGTCAAGGATTATCATAAGGATTCTGAAGCTCCGCGCAGTGCCATCAAGTTCGACATCTCCAAAGCTTTTGATACAATACATTGGCCCTTTATTCTGACTATTTTCAGAGCTCTTGGTTTTCCGGATATGTTCACTGGTTGGATCTTTGCTTGTATCTCTACAGCGTCTTTCTCGGTGGTTATCAATGGTGATTTGGAAGGGTTTTTTTCAAGTAATAGAGGAATCAGACAAGGCTGTTCTCTATCGCCGTATTTGTTTATCATGGTCCAAAACGTTCTCTCTAAGTTGCTTGATCGAGCTGTTGCAAATGGTCTAATTGGTCGGCATCCCCGATGTAATCATGTTTTGGTTAGCCACCTAACTTTTGCAGATGATATCCTAGTATTTACCGATGGATCTTCCTCTTCTTTAAGGGAAACAATTGGAGTCTTTGAGAGATTTGCCAAGATGTCTGGGCTACACATTAATGCTTTAAAGTCTGAAATTTATGTGGGTGGTCGCAATAAAGAGGCACTTGTGGCAGCTGCGACTTCTTACGGTATCCACACAAACTCTCTCCCTATTAGATACTTGGGACTGCCTTTAACAACAAAGTCAATGACTTCTCATGACTATGCGCCGCTCATAGATAAAATCAGATCTCGGTTTCTTTCCTGGACAAGTAAACACCTATCTTATGCAGGACGGATTCAATTGATATCTTCTGTTATCTCAAGTATAGCAAATTTTTGGTGCTCTGTTTTTCGCTTACCTGTTAGGTGCTTTGAAGAAATTGAAAGGCTATGCGGAGCTTTCCTTCGGTCCAGAAATATGAACACTGCTACAGGGGCAAAAATAGCTTGGACTGATGTGTGCAAACCGAAAGCAGAGGGCGGGCTGGGGCTGAGACGTCTCCAGGATGTCTCCCGTGTCTTTTCTTATAGTGTAATCTTGCATTTATTCACTGTCTCTGGCTCGCTTTGGGTGGCTTGGACTCGACATAATCTCATGCTACATGGGTCTTTCTAGACAGCACCAAACGCAATGCTAGGCTCTTGGGTTTGGGGAAAACTACTCAAAATTAGAGAGGAAGTAAGACCTTTCATTAGAGCTGTTGTGGGTAATGGAAAACGGGTATCATTCTGGTATGATAATTGGTTACCTCTTGGACGAATTCTGGATTTAACAGGCCCAGGTGGCCCTTGGATATTGGGAATCCCATTGAATGCGACGGTAAGGGATGCAGTTGGACCTCAAGGCTGGAAACTGCGTCGGACAAGGTTGGTCCAACTTTACCTCTTTTGGACCTAATTCGTGCTTCCCCATTGCCTTCAATTTCTCGGGGAGATGATATCTTCCTTTGGCGTGACAATATGGATGAGTTTCATGAAGCTTTTTCATCTCATAATACATGGGAACAAGTTCGGATTCATCACCAGCAAGTGTCGTGGTGGCGGCTAATCTGGTTTAACCAAAGCATTCCTCGTTGTCGGTTCATTTCATGGTTAGCGATGCATGATCGTCTCTCCACGGGTTCCCAAATGCAAGCGTGGGGTCAACACCAGACGTGTGTCTTCTGTGGTGAGGTAAACGAGTCCCAGGATCACTTGTTCTTTGCATGCCCGTACTCTTTCATAGTCTGGTCTGCTATCGCCAGAAAGTTATTGCGCCACCAGCTCAACCCGGACTGGGCTGAGACAGTTTCAATAATCCTTACCCTTACGGGAGATGACATTCTCCTCCGCCTCTGTTTTCAAGTGTCGATTTACTCCATTTGGAGGGAACGTAACTCTTGCATCCATGGTACGAGTAACCTAACCATGGCGCAGCTCATCAGACTTGTTGCGAAACTTATTCGAAACTGAATTACGTTTCTTAACTACTCCGCCAAACCCCGTATCCGTCTACTGCTTCAACGATGGATCATGGTCCGACCTTGAACTCTCACTCTGTTCTTCCTCCGTGATGTTTTTACCTCACCTCCTTATTTTTTTAATTCTTTGCACAACTCAGGTTAGGCCTGGGCGTTTGGATATCCGTTCGGTTCTGGTTCGGTTCCGGCTCAGTTCCGGTTCTTTTGGTTCTAGAGTTTAGGATCCATATAGGAACCAATCAATTTCGGTTCGGTTCCGGTTCCGGTTCCGGTTCTTTCGGTTCTGAAGTTTAGGATCCATTCGATATTTTCTTTCGGATATATTTAGGTATTTTGGATATTTTTGGGTATTTTCGGATATTTTCGAGTATCTTTTGGATATTGTAAATATTTTTTGATATATTTTCCAAATATTTGTTGGTATTTCGGGTATTTTTGTTGTTCGATCTAAAAATAATTAATATTTTTAAAATAACTAATATTTTTAGATATAAACTCATATTTTGGGTATTTTTGGGTACCCGAAATAGTTCGGTTCGGTTCGGTTCCGGTTCCGGCTATGAAATCTAGAATCCATTTAAGTATTTTGAAATTTCGGTTCGGTTCCGGTTCGGTTTTTTTTGCTTCGGTTCTGGTTCGGTTCTCGTGGTTCGGTTATTTTGCCCAGGCCTAGCTTAGGTTGTTGAGTTTGAGATTGTTTCAAAACTATAGCTTCCCGCTTTTGTACCTATTTTTAACACAAAGATGAATAAATTACACATTTCAACAAAAAAAAAAAGTTTTTCAACAATTAATAAAAGGACTAAACAGTTATAAATCACATCATAGTGACATGCATGAGATTACATTTTTATGAATGTAATATTGATCTGTTGTCAACAACTTAGTGATTTAAGTTAAAACACTTTAAATATTGTTTATCAGAATATAATCCACAAGATTATACAAAGGTAATGTTGCATTTGTTTCCCAAATCAAAGAAGGTTATATCAAGAGCGAGCGAACAAAACATATCCCTTCAAGATTCTTCTTCTACACTCAAGAACTCGAGAAGAACAAGAAAGTCGATATATAGTACATCCGCTCAAGTGAAAATACAGCAGATCTATTCACAAAAATGCTTCTGACAACCACATTCAGAAAACATATTCATAGTATCGGAATGCGTCATCTACGAGACCTATAATACAATGGTTATATATATTTTCGAGGGGGAGTCTACGTGACTGTGCTCTTTTTCCGTTATCAAGATTTTTATCCCAATGAGTTTTTCCATGATAAGGTTTTCAACAATGCAGTACGTGACTCGTCAAAGGTGATAGATACTTAAGAGAGAATACTTAACCAATGGCATCTTATGTATTATTTTACCCTTCATAAGGTTGTTTAATATCTAGTGATTCCCAATTAATAGTATAGATTTCAGAGATTATAGTTTTTATTAGCAATCTCGTTGATAAAATATTTAAGATAATATTGGTAAACATAAATTATATGAAAGTGAAAATGATGTATAAATTTAAGTTAGAAATATATTTATTTGTTTAATCCAATGTTAATTAGCAACCTTGTCATAAAAAGTTTTTGGTTACGTGGTTGACTAATTTGACATAAGTTTTTTTATTTAAGCTAACATGTTAAATTCTCATACTTTTCAATTTTGATCAATCCCACAAGATATTTAATGTTGCGGATTTATACACTATGTTGAGTCATCTTTTATTGTGAATTATTAATCTATCCATTGTACACAGTAGATTTTCTTGTAAAATTTTAAAATCATTATATACGTATAGTAGATTGTTGTAAACTATTGAAATCGGCCAACAATCTTACGAATGATGATGCAAAAAAAAAAAGAAGAGACTATGTATATAGTTCATATGGTAAAGATTCTCAGGCAAATCTTAGAGTTCGTCGGTTTGAGAGACACTTGGGAAGAGACCATATAAATGTTCTGGTCCCTAATCTGAGAGGATATACGGACCCAAGCCCGGAATCTCTTAATTCTTCAAAAAAAAAAAAGATGTTAATAAAAAAAATGAACGAAATATTCTGCATTTTTTAAAAGTATTCATCATAAGCACTTTAAAAATGATGGGGGTCTTTAAAAGTGTTATTCATATAGATTAAACAAATTATATATTTAATTTTAGTAACATATTTTTTTACCTAGGATATGGCCGTGATTTTTCTTTTAAATAACAAAAAGGTGATTGAAATCTTCTAAATATATTCAAAGTTAACCATTCAATCATATATATAAGTAGAACCGAAGAACTTTCAAAATTATTCATATAGAATAAGGAAGTTAGGCGTTAAAAAAAAGATTAAGAAATTTATTTTATTAATTATAAAAGATTATTATTTAAAACATTACTCATTAACAATCATAAGTACACACACAATTAGGAGTACTACCAACTTTGGATGCAATACATTCTCCAACTCCATTGCGCTCCGCATAGCAGTTTAGACGACAGTCATCAGGGTAACATGGAGATAGATCAATGAGTAGAGTACAACGTCTATCTCCCTTAGCGTTCTCAACAACTGAAAAAAATAAAAAAGTAAAATACCCTATGTTATAACGTAAAACTATATATGTGTATACGCTTAGATATTTTATGTAATGTAAAGATGAAAACTAATTTTTGATTTTAGAAGTGGAAAACATGAAATTACCTGACAAAACAAGTATGAGTATGAGGAAATAAGAACATGATATCTTGGCCATGATCAATGTATCACAACAAAAGAAAGCTACTAATGTTTTGTAAATTAGAGATGATAAATGAAAAAACTCTTTTCTTTGCTTTATTGTTATGTAACGTTTGTGTATGTATATATATATATATACGGGTATAAATATAAACAGAAATAAAAATAAAAGGAACGTGAATGAATGTTGATAAGTGTAAGGTTTGACTACATTGATTACGATCTGCACTTTCTCACTATAGTAAAATTATAACAATTATCTTATTTCATAGAAAGAATTTTTCTTTTCCTTTCTTGATGCTTCTTTCATGTGTAATTCGTTTTATCTCTATCAATTTCTATACTTAAAAAGTGTAGTCAAAGTTCAAACAAATAATTATTACATTAACATAAAAGTCTTGGCTAGTTCTGAAATAAGTGTGACAACATAAAAATAATAAAAGAGCCACATATTTTAGGTGGTAAATAGAATCTGAAGTAAAATATCTTAAAATAACTTTAAAATAAGTTTTACGGACAATTATAGCACATACTTTATAAATTTTAAAAAATATTAATAGTTGTTGATACAATGACTATTTTGTCTTTATCTAAAAAGTTTTTCAGCAATTAATAAAAGAAATCCTAAACAGTTGTAAATCACATCATAGTGACATGAGATTACATTTTTATGAATGTAATATTGAACTGTTTTCAACAACTTAGTGATTTAAGTTAAAACAGTTTAAATATTGTTTATCAGAAAAGAATCCACAAGATTATACAAAGATAATGTTGCATGTGTTTCCCAAATCGAAGAAGGTTATATCAAGAGTGAGAGAACAAAACATATCCCTTCAAGATTCTTCTTCTACACTCAAGAACTCGAGAAGAACAAGAAAGTTGATATTTAGTACATCCGCTCAAGTGAAAATACAGCAGATCTATTCACAAAAGTGCTTATGACTTCCACATTCAGAAAACATATTCATAGTATCGGAATGCGTCATCTACGGGACCTATAATACAATGGTTATATATATTTTCGAGGGGGAGTCTACGTGACTGTGCTCTTTTTCCGTTATCAAGGTTTTTATCCCAATGAGTTTTTCCGTGATAAGGTTTTCAACAATGCAGTACGTGACTCGTCAAAGATGATAGATACTTAAGAGAGAATATTGTGAAGCAAGTGTAATTCTCCATCACAACACATGACATATACACATGTCCATAAAATGGACACTAATCCTGAAAGATTAACACTTGTAAACACACATTCTCCACTTGTTGTTTCTGCTCTACACTTGTCATTGTCTCCTCAACAAAAACATGACTCAGCATTCTCTCTTATTCTTTATAAATAGGAGCTTGTTCAAGAAGAAAATATAATAGAAAGTTAGAGTAATAAAAACCTCAAGAGGTTCTCTCTTCTTTTTCTTTTGATTTCATATTTTAATGTTTCGATTTATATTTCACAATATATGCTATGTTTATGGTTGTGAGGTTTATTACGCTTTAGCTCTACTTTTTAGAAATATTAAAGAGATTATAGTTTTTATTAGCAATTTCGTTGATAAAATATTTAAGATAATATTGGTAAACATAAATTGATAGCTGAAAATCATCATAAATTCATAATATAAGCATTTTGTTGGATTAGCTAGAATTTCTCTAGTTCTCTCTGTAGTGAGTAGGTTAAACATCATTCAAGTTTTGAAATCCAACAACAACGTATACTACTGAGTTATCATAAAATTTAAGATTTTAAGATGTTTAAGTATAGACATTAAGCATTAAATACAACAAACTAAACCGAAAGGAGATATATAAACAACTAAATTAATGCAAAACCAAATTTGACAATAACAAACTGGAATTAGAACTTTTAAAAGGAAGTATTTGTTTGCTACCAAAATCCAAAATATAGTTAGTTTTGTGTACACAAAAGAAAAGTTTAGCTGTATGAATTAAGTTTAAATAATATTTGTCTCAAAGCTGAACTGTTTTCTTTTGTTAATATATTTTTTTAACTTTTATTCTGAGTCAGTTTCAAATAATCAAAATATAAACAGCTTTTACCTTTAGTTCTTTAGTCAGTAATTGTCTGTAGGGACATAACATTTCCCCAACAGCACTTTGTTCGAACTTCGAATTGTCATTGGAACCAAAATTTAAATGGTGTTGGCCCCAAAATGACCAAACCGGGTTCAAATTGAAATTAGACTCGGTTAAATTAGAATCAATCAAAATAGAGAAAACCGGAATACTTGTAGGTACATTGTATTACAGATGTATCACAGCTAATAGTTATAAATACAAACGTGGTGTGTTGTTCTGACTCTTATCTACTACAAACACTTCAAAGCTTGACCCAACCATAAACAAACACACACTGGTCCATTGGTCCACATAGTCTCTTAATTCGGTTTCTTCAGCAATTCTTCGTACCACAATCCATGAACAGAACGTGACACTGTTGCCACAAGAACAAGAATGTTTGAAACCTCTATGACTTTGTCCGAGAGAGAAGCTGCTCCGATCTTTCGTAGCATTGTTTCCACCAACTGCTTTCTCTTCGTGTTGTTTCCTGCCAAAACCGCAGCTCTAATGGCTAGGTATATGGTCTGTGAAACACGTGTGAATACTGCATCTCCTGCTTGTAAGCTTTTTACAAGCATGTTTGCGATTACTTGTTTCTTTGTCTCTGCATCGTCAGAATCAAGAAGTTTGGAGAGTGTTTCCATGATTTCTGAAAGACCCGCATCAGGTTTTGCGTCTAGCATCTCGTAAAGACGGTTTATGCAAGTCCATGTAATGGTCTCCATGTCAATCGGGGATGAGTTTTCACTTACAAGTGTTTGCTGGAGGATCAACACACTAAAAGAACGAAACATAGCAGTTAATATGAGAATTATATAATCACCATTTTGAATAAGAGATCAATAGGTAAGTTTTGTCATTGCTGACCTGATGGATACTAGAGTGATTTTCTGGATTTGGGATTGAATAGCTCTCAGCCTAGAGAGGTTAAGTTGAAATGTTTCAGGGACAGTTTCTAAAGTAAGACCACCAATTTCGCTCACCATTTTTAACAGGCCAAGGCGAACAAGAAGATCCACAGTTTCTCCTTTGCACTCTGACAGTTCAATTCCTGCAAAATCATCAGCATGCAACTATGATCACATAAATCAACAAATGACAATCGTGCATTCACCAAAACGTGATGGCCATATAGTTTTGGATCCTTCAATAGCCAAATCTGGGATTACTAGCGTATTAAACCATTCACTAACTTATCATATGAATTGCTTTTATTAATTTGTGGGAACAAGTTTGGTTTCTCAGGTGATTAACTGAATTCTACCAGTTGATTTCTGTTTGCTAAACTAAGTTCTTACAGAAATAATCCTATAAAGATGACTAAAGTTGATAGATGGACACCACCAAACCTGGAAATGAAGACGAAGGGGTATTGACTTTTGAAACAGAGGAGATATTGCCACCAGTTCGCATGGTGGTAGAAGGGAGACCTGATGATCCAGAGTGGTTATTTGTGACAGCAGAAAGAGCATCTTGGTGTTCTTTCCACTCCCTCTCTGCCTCTCCCCGAACACTTAAAAGCCAACGCTTTGTCAATGGTAGCGAGGAAGACGCTTGGTCTGGGGAACCATGCCGACTTGAAAATGACTTCTTCAGATATTCCAGACCAGCAGGTCCCTTTAGAAGTGGCTCCAAGAGTTTCAAACGAGATTTGCTGATTTCCTTCTTTAGAATCTGCAAGTAAAAGGACATATGACGTGAAAATGCACTACCAGATTTAGTCCCTAGGTTTGGATTTCATTTATTCAGAAAGTAAAAAACTTAAAAGAAATTAGCTGTCATAGTTAACAGTGTATCACTGATCACATGAGAGAAGTTTATTACAGTAATGCTTGTAGAGATATGGATAAATTATGATTGTAAATTGGTAGCTACTTGAGAAACCTTGTCCTCTACTATATTCATTTTCAGAAAGCATAAAATGATCAATTATTATGTCCACAAAGTAATAAAAAGAAAAAATGTGCATACCTGAATCTGCTGCAAAACAAAGCGTAGCCCTTTAACCATTAAGACTGCATATGACGAATTCGAATGGCCTTCAGTTGGAACTATCTCTCCAAGTTCTGTCATTAATTTATGGTGAGTAGTCCTAATTTCCTCTTCATTGGCTGGAGCAGAGAGTTTCAGCAAAATGCCAAGGGAAAACTCTAGAATATTTCCAAGATAACCCATGTCGACATTACCAGAAGCCAGTAACTGAATCATGCCAGGAAAAAAAAAAGGATATTAAGTACATAACATATCTGTTGTACCAATAATTAAGATAAGGCTGTAGTAAAAAGCACCTGTGACAGCACATCGGTATCGATAGTTTGAACAATCTCTTGTCTCCAATCTTTTGGAGATATCTCACAGAGTTCATCCCTGACTTCTTTCATGAGTTTAAGAACCCAGCTGAAGTCTGGCTGCGACTGTTTCATGGATTCCATGACGCCATCCCAGAAAGCCTTTTCCATTGTCTCCTTAACCCTTACCTGGGATATCACGAAAGTGATTAAATATGAGTCAAGTCGAAAATATTATGGTGCAACTGAACGAATCAGAATAGTGAAGTCAAAATATATCATTAAGTAGCTTATATTTATGTACCTGAAGGTTGCTTGCATCCCCAGTGTTAGGGTCAAGGCTATCAGCAAAACTACTGCTACTGTCATGGACAATTTCATTTACGATTACTTCGTTCTCACTAGCCAACGCTGCATCAAAGCTATTAGCTGTCACGTTTGGAGTAGAAATGCCCTCGCTTCCTGCTAGATAAAACTCGTTTTAGATTGAAGACTTGCCAGATAATCTGTGAGCTTTAAAGGTTATCCAGATTAAAAAATATTACCAGAGTTCAAAGAGGGGGACAAATTTGATGAGCCCGGGGAAGATGATGATGGAAGATGTGAATCTGCAGGTGCTTTTGATTTTTGTGCTCCATCGGTTTCAGAGAATAAAGCCCGATTAGTTGGAGAAGATACCTTCAGCTGAAAAAAGAAAATGGTTGTTCTCCCTATCAAGCTTCTGACATTCCATGGTCTACTATTCAGATAAATGTGCAGCATAATAAGCTAACTTTAGGCTCATGTAGACAGAGCCACTTAAGGTAAATGCAAAAGAGGGGAATGGGAAAATACCAGCTTCGGATTCACGCCACTGTCTACTATTTTGGGAGAGGAAGTATGATTTGGTACCTCAGACAGTTCAGGCTCCTGAGTTCTGGCTAAATCTTTTTCTAGAAGCTTAGCATCATTAATTTTCCAAACTACAAATCCCTCCAGGTAAGAGCACCAAGCTTTATCAAATGCTTCTAGCTGAGATCTGAATTTTTTTGGACGTGGAGCTTCGAAAGATAAATTGTCCGGTAGGGTACATTCTGGTCCTTCCAATATAATTTTCACCAACAGTTCAAACTCCCGAATAAGATAGGTTGCAGATTCAACTAGCGCAATTTCATGTTCACCTCTTCCTCTAAAAATTGCACCGGGATGTTGCTTGATCATGTAGGCACAAAGAAAAATTCTAGCTGGATATCTAGCAATCTTTTTGAGTTTTTGATATCCCATCTTGGAATTGGGTGACTTCTGCTCGCCTTTACTCATGGAACTGGGTGATTTTCCTCTTCGAACTGGGGGAAAGATGTGCTTAAGAAGATGATTAATATTCTCCACATTGGATGCCTTAGATAGAGTGAGTCGGATCTCCAAGCGATCAAGCAATGCTTTCACTGTTTGAATTACAGAAACTGAGTTCATTTGAATGGCAAACTGCTCAAACGGCACAGACTCAATGGATTTTTCATTGATCCCGAGGTCGTGATAGGCTCTAGCCAAGCCATAAGTAGATTTCTTGTATTTTGTAAATCTCCTCCAACATCTGCAATTTTAACGACAATCAGACCACCGATGTAAGACAATCAAACATCTAACAAAAGTTTAAAAGAACAATCTATCTACCTTTCTAACATCCTAACAAGATGCACTTGGTTCTTTCGCATTGTTTCTGATCTTGAAGAGGAACAACTGTCCATGCCTCTCCTTCGCCTCATATATTGTGCTTTAAGTTTCTTGGCCTAGCCAGACGCCAGATTAGTAATGATAAGTACATCCAATTGCAAATATAAAAGCTTGAAAGAATTTCAACATACCCTTTGAAGCCGCTCTTCTAAACGATCCTTCATTTTCTTTCTTTCAGCTTCCTTTTGATTCTGCACAGAACTAGCAGCACCAAAAACCCGAGTCAATCTCGCATTCGCTCTTCTCCTTTCCGCTTCCAAAATCCCCATCCGTTTACTCTCTGCAGCTGCTCTTTTCTGATAAATCGCAGCACGCACACTCTCCTTATACCTCGTCTCCTGAACAGCTTTCTTCATCAAACTCTGCGCAGCTCGCTGTCTCTTCGCTGCTCTCCGCTGTGCCATAGCTTTAAAAAGAAGCATCCTATTTTTCTCAGCCTTTAAAACCCTTTCTTCAACCTTACTCTCTAACTCATCACGCTCTTTCTCAACCCGTTGCTCAAGTCCGTTCTTCGCAGCTTGTCTAGCTTCATCCATCTTAGCTAAACGAGCCAGCTCCTTCTCCAAAATACTTAACCTATCAATAACTATGATTAATTCCTCACATTTCCTCATTTGTTGTTTAAATTACCAAACAAAAAGTCTCTGTTTTTACCTCTTTTGTTCAGCAGCATTAAGCTTTGATTCAAGTCTCTGACTAAGCTCCTCTATACTTGCTGATCTCGGACTTCTCATCTTAGGTCGAGCCTTGCTCGATAGTGATTCATAGTATTGCTGCAAAATTCATAAAGTAATGTTCTTTTTTCAAATTCGGTTCTGTTTTAACCCAAAGTTTCAAACTTTAAGATTTACCTGACGACGGAGATCAGCTTCTCTAAGTTTGGAATCGATCTCTTCGGCGGAGACAGGACTCTTGGGTTCGAGAAGACGACGACGGAGCCTCCGTGGAAGAGTCTTTGGTGATGTTGTCGTTACCGTATCTTCCTCATTCGCCGGAAAACTCAGGGAGATTCCTCCTAATCGCTCTGGTTCCGTCATTGATTTCACGACCACAGAATTGTAGATCACAGAAAGTGATTTTGTTTAAAAAGAAGAAAAATGTAACTTTATTTGGAAAGGAGAGAAATTTCAAAAAAAGCTTATCTCTAGTCGGTGAGATGTTAACAGAGCGAAGATTTGATTTTTTTTTTTTCTCGTTAGGTTGTTTTCGAATTTGTTTGGTTTTTTTATGAAGACGACGATACGCGTTCTTCTCAATCGGACCCGTAATTTCTGGAAATTTCCAAAAGTATCCATTTTTTGAACCGGAATTATCTCGTCTATATTGTTTATGGTTTATCAGGGCCATTAAAACGACGTCGTTTAATATTTGGGCTTCAAATTGGGCTAAAGGCCCATCTTTTGTAGACTTTAAAAGCGACGCGAATTTTGTATCTGGATTTGTTTTTGGGAAAAATGTCGACAAATGCGCCAACTTTCAAATTTGGGACGATTAAAGCATGAACTCTCGAAATGTCTCTTTAATCACAAAGTTTCCGTTGACCTATCTAAAAATAGCTAAGTTTTCGTTGACCTGGCCAAATTAGGCATCGCGTTAAGTCTCCGTTAGAACGACGCTGACACTGTTAACAATCCGTTAGATTCTCCGTTCGATCAAAACGACGTCGTTTTGAAGTTTTCAAACGACGTCGTTTCACCAGAAAATAAGAAGGAAAAATGGCATCTCCAAAGAATCGAACTGCTGACATGTTACACTAATAAGAGATACTCAACCATTGGGCTACGCAAACATTTTAATGTTAGTACAAACAGAACGTGTATATATACTAAAAACTGGTAACATAAATTAGGTAAAAATATATGCAATTAATTAAAAATAACAAAACTAAAAAATAATAATAACCAAAAATACAAATATTAAATATACTTATCATAGTATATGTATCAAAATCTCAAATATTATTTTATAAATAAAGATTTCTTCCATATTTGGAAAATTATTCCTTCCGAAATTCCTTCTAATATAAAAATTTTAAATATATGACATAAAATTAATCATATAATTATGCGTTATATGCACCAATGATATGCACCAATGATACATGCACCAACCACATTAAACATTTGTACAAAGTTTAGGTTTTTATAATTTAGGAAATAATAATTTTCCAAAATAGAATAAAATCTCTATATATATAATTAAATGTTTAAAATTTTGAAATATATATTTAAGGTAAGTATATTTAATATGTGTATATGTTTGGTTATTAATTTGTTTTTAATTTTGTTATTTTAAATTAGTTGCATATATTTTTACCTAATTTATGTTACCAGTTTTTAGTATATATACACGTTCTGTTTGTACTAACATTAAAATGTTCGCGTAGCCCAATGGTTGAGTGTCTCTTATTAGTGTCACAGGTCAGCAGTTCGATTCTTTGGAGAAGCCATTTTTCCTTCTTATTTTCTGGTGAAACGACGTCGTTTGAAAACTTCAAAACGACGTTCAAACGACGTCGTTTTGATCGAACGGAGAATCTAACGGATTGTTAACAGCGTCAGCGTCATTCTAACGGGGACTTAACGCGATGCCTAATTTGGCCAGGTCAACGAAAACTTAGCTATTTTTAGACAGGTCAACGGAAACTTTGTGATTAAAGAGACATTTCGAGAGTTCATGCTTTAATCGTCCCAAATTTGAAAGTTGGCGCATTTTTTGACATTTCTCCCATTTGTTTTTCTGTCAATTCTAGTAGAAAATGATTAGTTTGTGTTGTGTACTTGTTGTGACACCCTCGAAAGTATGAGGATTTGTTCTCTTTTAGTTCGATGAGTTTTAGAAGAGAGGCATTGGTTGGCTAGTATGACTTATGTTGCTCATGTTACAGTGATCACTATTACTAATAAAAGCCAGATTCATGGTTACAAGTTTGGAACAGTTATTTGTTTAACTTATGTTTTGCTCTGTTCAATGTGTGAAGACAATGTTACATTGTATCTGCAATTGAAATGACTGGTAGCAAAAACACCATTTTTGTTTTTTTTTTTTGTTGTCACAAGCAAGTTCAATCATTCACAACCCCAAACATTATTTTACAAAAGTACAACAGAAAGTAAAAGTGAAACCAACAACATCATATGGTTCTTTATTAGGCATCACAATGCAAGAGGTCCCATATGGTTTCCAAGAACATCTTGAAGCGTTTCCAATACTCGACCCACTCTCAATGTTCGGCTCCTGTAGACCACAAGTGTGATCCTCATAAGCCTCACTTTAAGTAAAATATCTAAGATCATGCTCGGCCCTGTGCATGTGCTGGAAGTGCATTTACACAGGGTCCATTAAATTTTTTGATTTTTTTTCTTAAGTAAAGAGGGCCCAATTTTTTTTTTTAAATATGTAGCAATATCATGGGGCTAACTCTTTTCTAGCTCTTGGTCTCGTAGAAATTTAAGTCGCGCCTGTCTAAGATATAAGAGCTCAAAAAAATTACTTGTTTTCTCCTTTTCGCACCCTCCTACATATATATATATTGCTCCTAGACTAGCTTTTAAATTAAGACTTTGTTCTAAACTACTTTGTTTTATCCTTATGCCTCGTGCATGTTTCTTGATTTGGACCAAACTTGGAACATAAGAGGTAACTTCTTGCCTACAATTTTGATCTTCATGTACTCCGAGATCCAAAAGTTTTGAGTATCCAGCCTCTCCAATGATGTGAATAAATGTTTTGGGACAATTAGTTTTAGAGTCATAGTTTATACCACAACCCATGAAGACTTTCTTCTCCTCGTCAATGAAGAAACTATGTGGATAATTTATATTAGTTCTCGTATCAGTTCTCAAGAACTTGCTCCACGATACCATTTCGACCTCAATCTTAGTCGTAATCCATATCTCAAACTCATATTCATCTGATTCTTGGTGCCGAAATAAAGTTGCAAGCTTCTCTTCTTTAACCCACGATAAATTCACATTCACATATCTATCCCTAACGCTACACTGTAGAGGCAGGCGCGACTTTATAGATGTTGTAAAATCAAAATAGATGTTGTGATCCTTGTAATCTTCTAAGCTTTTTTCTTTAGCACGCTAGTAAGTGTTTCCCTTAATGGAAACACTATTGAAAGAACAATACATACCCCAATGTAGAGTGACATAAAGAATTGTCCATAAACCCGAGTCAAAATCGTAGATTTCGTATCAAAAAACCATGCGCTTCATAGAAATAATCTAGAAACTCAAGAATTTAACGATACGACAAGATTCCTTATCTTCGTATCCGAGAGCATAATTGTACCTATCATATCCATGAAAAAATCGGAGGTTGATCCACCTTGTTTGCCCCCAATACGGATTCCAATACTCTAGTAACGTCTTTCAAGATCCATAACAATAAACCCTCATAGTGGATCATTCTAGATTTACTCACATGATTGTGAAGGAAAATAAGTTGACATTAACCTCTATAGATGGATCAAAGTCGACGACGCCGCTCATTAAATAAATATTGTGAGGCATCATCATGATCATCATAGTCTCCCCTTCTCTTGTTGGTGTTGTTACTTTACCAATGTGCATCTTCCTAAAACTCTCACTTTTGGATAAATTGTTCCAAGTTTTGCAAGTCAATCTCACAGCTTTCATATATTTACCCGAGTTCGATTCTCACTGGAAACAAAAACACATTTGTTTGGGAAGTCTGTCAGTTGGGCCTAGGCCCAATTGGTTTACCTGGTAGTCAGAAATGCAGGCGGCCTGACTACCTCCTGGCATTAGTCGGAAGGTATTCCAAACTCGGATCAGGCAGTGTGTGGCCCAATTCTACCTGGATCGGGAGAAGTCCACTCTGTAGCATCTCGGTGCGTTCCTACCGAGGCCGACCGGATCAGCCGATAGGGTTTATCAAAAAAAAAAAAAAAAAAAAAGCTTTCATATATTTCAAGGAAACCCTAGAAATGATTTCTTGCTGCTAAGGGAAAGGAAAAGGTCAAATGATACATATAACCTTAAATGAAGTTGGGCCTATAGTGGGCTTTAGAATCTAGTTGGGCTTTTAATGATGTCATAGTATCTGGCGAACCCAATTTGTATCTGGCGCGAGGTTTTATTTTCTGCGGAGGAGGAGATGATCGACGGTTCGTCTCTTACGGTGGAGATGGAGGAGGAAAATTCTCCGGCGACGGCGATTGCACCGAGAGAGCCACCGAAGATTCAACGCCTAGAAGAATCTGTAGTCAACCGTATCGCAGCTGGTGAAGTAATCCAGCGTCCAGTTTCAGCGGTGAAAGAGCTCGTTGAGAATAGCCTCGACGCTGATTCAAGTTCCATAAGCGTCGTTGTTAAGGACGGTGGTTTGAAACTTATTCAAGTCTCCGACGACGGTCACGGTATTAGAGTACGGTTCTTTTACACACTCTCATTTTGAATTTCATAAATGGGAAATTCTCTGATTCTGGTGGAAGATGATTAGTTTTTGTTCTTGTTATTTCGTGTTTTTAGCGTGAAGACTTGCCGATATTATGCGAAAGACATACGACATCGAAGCTGACTAAATATGAGGATTTGTTTTCGCTGAGTTCAATGGGATTTAGAGGAGAGGCATTGGCTAGTATGACTTATGTTGCTCATGTTACAGTAACTACCATTACTAAAGGCCAGATTCATGGTTACAGGTTTGGAACATTGGTATGATTAAGTTATGTTTTGTTCTGCTCTATGTGTGAAGATAGTGTTATATTGTAGCTGCAATTTTTTGTTCAGAGTGTCTTATAGAGATGGTGTCATGGAGCATGAACCAAAGGCGTGTGCAGCTGTCAAAGGAACACAGATATTGGTAATTTTTCAAATCTTGGCGTCAAATTGGTTGAGCAAAAAGCGGGGAAGCGACGTTCTTCTGTAACTTTTGATGTTTTTGTATTTGAATTTTGTATGTAGGTGGAGAATTTGTTCTACAATATGACTGCTAGAAGGAAGACACTTCATAATTCTGCTGATGATTATGGAAAAATAGTAGACTTGCTGAGTCGGATGGCTATTCATCATAATAATGTCAGCTTTTCTTGTCGAAAGGTTGGTATACTTACTAACTAAACTATTCTACCTCTTTTGAAAGCAACTATTTTTGGTATTTTGGAATTGTGAAGCGAATGATCCGATTCCTTTTTGATACTGTCTCGCCAGCACGGAGCTGTTAAGGCTGATGTTCACTCAGTCGTGTCGCCTTCGAGGCTTGATTCCATCAGATCTGTTTATGGGGTATCAGTTGCAAAGAACTTGATGAAAGTAGAAGTTTCCTCCTGTGACCCCTCCGGTTGTACTTTTGATATGGAGGGTTTCATATCTAATTCAAACTATGTTGCTAAGAAGACTATATTGGTGCTTTTCATTAATGGTGAGGACTTTGTTTCCTTAATAGAAATGAAAAGTCATATCTGATTTATCACTATGTGACATTTAATTTTTTTATTACAACAGATAGATTGGTGGAATGCTCTGCTTTAAAAAGAGCCATTGAAATTGTTTATGCTGCAACATTGCCAAAGGCATCGAAACCTTTTGTCTACATGTCAATCAATTTGCCGCGGGAACATGTTGATATCAATATTCACCCAACAAAGAAAGAGGTAATTGCTTTCCTCCTTTTATACTAGTTTCGAGGCCTATGTATGTCTGGGTCCAAATATTTCAGTGAGAAGATTGTGTATCTGTTGCTTAACTTTGCTTGAACAATAAACTCCTTATTTATACATCAAATAATAGATGTTTTGGTCTACCGTGCAGGTTAGCCTACTAAACCAGGAAATTATTATCGAGATGATACAGTCAGAGGTTGAAGTAAAACTGAGAAACGCAAATGATACTAGGACGTTTCAAGAGCAGGTACGCTTGCAAAAGAACCTGAAGCAATCTTTTTTTCTGGAGGTTAAGAATACTTATTTAATAATCACGTTTCCTTTTGATATTTTCATGCTACAGAAAGTGGAATACATTCAATCTACATTAACATCCCCAAGAAGTGATTCTACAGTTTCTCCGAAGCTTTCTGGTATTGTATCATTTGTCTGGATTGAATGCCTTTTATATCCTAAAACTTTTCCCTTTGCATGCACTTTTGTCCTTTTTTGCTTCATAGAAAAGCTTGTGCTCTTCTCATTTACTAGGACAAAAGACACAGAAAGTTCCTGTGAACAAAATGGTGAGAACGGATTCATCAGACCCAGCTGGAAGGTTACATGCCTTTTTGCAACCCAAGCCACATAATCTCCCTGACAAGGTTTCTAGTTTGAGTGTAGTAAGGTAAGACCTCATTTGAGACAAGATATGTAGTTTCATATAAACAAAATTGGATCTGAGTCATCACTCTTCAAAAATCTCATCTTATTTACCAGAAATGTGCTCTCCTTTGATTTCCTTGGAAAAATGTTTGCTGCTGGTGTTTCGTTGGCATGATATTCTTTTATTGGTTAAACGTGTTACGCATCATTATATTCCACTTGATATAATTACTGGACTTGCAGGTCTTCTGTAAGGCAAAGAAGAAACCCAAAGGAAACTGCTGATCTTTCTAGTGTCCAGGAACTTATTGCTGGAGTTGACAGCTGCTGCCATTCAGGTAGCTTTCTCTGAATGGTTATTCTTCTGAACATAACCTTAAACAAATCCTCGTGACCGCGTTTCTCGAAATTATGCTCTGTTAGGTCTGCTGGAGACTGTAAGGAATTGCACATATGTTGGGATGGCAGATGATGTTTTTGCTTTAGTTCAGTATAACACCCATCTATATCTAGCAAATGTGGTGAACCTCAGGTATTATTCTTGAGATTTAATGTTTGGTAGAGAATATTCTACTGTATCAAGATGAAAAATCTATCTGAATGATATTTGACGAGTTGTAGCTGTACCTCGCAAAAGAAACTCATACAGCATACCATCTTATTGGATTTTGCAGCAAAGAGCTTATGTATCAGCAAACTCTTCGTCGTTTTGCTCATTTTAATGCAAGACAGCTTAGCGATCCAGCCCCTCTGTCTGAGTTGATATTGTTGGCTCTGAAAGAGGAGGATCTAGATCCAGAAACTGATAAAAATGATGATCTGAAAGAAAGAATCGCTGAAGTAAGTTCTGCTTTCTGTATCATATTTCTGCTACTGGTTTTGTACCAACTATTCCTTCGGTTCAGCTCGTATTCTCAACAGTAACAAGTTCCTGAGGCTGTAATGTTTCATATGGATTTTGTTAACTTGTTTTGTTTTTGACATATAGATGAATACAGAACTCCTCAAGGAAAAAGCGGAAATGTTAGAGGAGTATTTCAGCGTTTACATTGACTCCAATGGAAATTTGTCACGGCTTCCTGTCATACTCGACCAGTATACACCTGACATGGATCGTGTTCCCGAATTTTTACTATGCTTGGGAAATGATGTGAGTTCCGCGATTACAATTTGTACAATTATTATCCGCCTTTTTGTGCCTACTGAAGTGTTACTGATCATAGGAACAGTGGGTTCTAATGTAACCCTAACGTACTTTTTAGGTTGAGTGGGAAGATGAGAAGAGTTGCTTTCAAGGAGTTTCTGCAGCTATTGGGAACTTTTACGCCATGCATCCTCCTCTTTTGCCTAACCCATCGGGTGACGGTATTCAGTTCTATACTAAGAGAGGTGAGAGGTCTCAGGAAAAGTCAGATTTAGGTATGTAAACCTCCTGCAGTGACCAATGTTTTCGCTTTTGGTTCCTCTGCAATTAAAAAAGATGAGAGAATCTAATGTTATGTTGAACTTTTGCAGATGGTAACGTCGAGATGGAGGATAATCTTGACAAAGATCTTCTGTCAGATGCTGAAAACGCATGGGCACAACGTGAATGGTCAATCCAACACGTGCTGTTTCCGTCAATGAGATTGTTCTTGAAGCCACCAGCTTCCATGGCTTCAAATGGGACTTTTGTAAAGGTTACCATTTCTTCAATTACCAGAAGGAGCTACACATGTTACGTTTAAGTAAACAAACTTTTTTCCTGGAGAATCAAATTTCACAAAGACATTAATTACATTCTTTTTATTCTTTTGCAGGTAGCATCCCTAGAGAAGCTGTACAAGATATTCGAACGATGCTAGTTGAAATCGCTGTTCGCATATGGAACTTTTGATATGAGTAGGCTTCCATTTGCCCTAACTATGCAGACTTTGAATGAAACTGGAACCAGTTAATGGTTAAACCTAACTGTGGCACACATGGCTGACCAAAACCATTATCACCAAACTCGACCCTTTTCTGTGACTATCCTCGTCAATTGAAGGGGAAAATATTGTAAATATATTAGATTATCTCTGGCATGAGGCGCTGGAACGACCGTTCACCAAAATCGTCGTCATTAGCTTGTGAAGTCTCTAGTATTAGATTGTCCCTGCCAAGTGTAGACCGAATAGGAGCAGGTTGAAAAGAGAAAGAGAGCGACATAGATATGGCTCGCCTGAGTGTTTGCTGTCCTTGAGAGAAACCGCTTCTGTCGTTCCCAACGCTTCCGCTCCTGTAGCCCTGTCTAGAACTCCTGGCTCGAGGTAAGGCTATGTGGCCTCTCTTTATCAGATTCAGGCTAACCAATTCTCTTTGTACCTCCTCCGGTAACTGCAATGTGAATCGATCTATATTCTCACCTAGTTGAACCGGTGAATGTCCAGTCGAATGAGATCGAGGGAAGAATATCTCAGCCACAGGCCAGCTCGACAATAACCCTGTAGATCTCGACCGAGGTGTTCTATAATTTGCATTATCGTTCCATGGCACACTGTTACCTCTCAAGCTTATCTCGTTGGGGGATTCAAGAACAACTCTCCTTGCATTTCCTGTTTCAATATCCATGCTTGGATATGGAAAGCTCTCACCGGGATTCAGAGACAATTCTGCACGACAGACTGGACATGTAGACCGAGAAGAGAGCCATACGTCAATGCAATTAGCATGGAAGGTGTGGCTACAAGGAGGCAGCCAACGTAGCGACTCTTCGTCCTCAAACTCACTTAAGCAAATTGCACATTCTACTCCGCCTTTGCCTATCTTGAGCCCTTTAACCTCTGAATAGAGGAAAGCCGGAAATGACTCTATGACATCCTTGTCAATCCCACACCTCACTCTACTGTGCAACACTTCATGACCTCCTGCCTCAATCTCTTCACTACAACATCCATAATGCATACAATAGACGACCAAAAGTAAGAGGAACAAGGAAAGCAAAACGACCCCAATTATCGATGAGACTTTGTTTCTTCCAGTGCGATCTGCTGACTCTTGCTGGCAAATTACGTAAGGAAAACATTGGAAAAGGAAGAGTGGCAATAAAACACATACTACGATCCGATGGCTGAAATCTCTAGTGAAGATAGTCATGATATGAACAGCTCCTCTCCTATATTAAGGTGGATCACTTGAGCTCCATGTCTTCGTTTAGAGCGAGAGAGATAGAGAAGAAGAAGAAGAAGAAGAAGAAGTCGTTCTTGATTCATACAAAACAAATCTGATTTGTAAATCAATAAGATCTGCCCGTCACGACAACAAATATTGTATTGGCTTTTTCCTCCAACGTTTTGACTTTGAAGAAGTTTTAATTATGTTCTTCGTAGACGTGGAACAAGTACAACTCCCACACATACCCACTTTATAAACTTGTTGACTACGCAACTAGACTCTATCCAGACAGTTTTGACCTATTCCTACTTGTAAACAACTGAAAAAACCGTCGAATAAGTCTCGTAAACATTGAATTAGGGAGTAATATCATTTAACAAAAAAAAAAGCAAGATATTGCAAATCTTACAAATTACATTATGTTAAAAAACTAGTCTGGAAAATCAAATCTTACAAAGACATTAATTACATTCTTTTTACTCTTTTGCAGGTAGCATCCCTTGAAAAAATGTACAAGATATTCGAACGTTGCTAATTGAAACTGCTGATCGCAAACTTCTTACTCTAACTATGTATACAGACTTTGAATGAAAAAAAACTGGAACTAGTTAATGGTTAAACCGTACCAAACTGTGGCACGCATGACTGACCGAAACCATTATCATCAACTCCCTTTTCTGTGACTTGCTCTAAAAAATGTACATTGATTAGACCTTCTCTGGCATGAGGCGTTCGAACGACCGTTCACCAAAATATTTGTCCTTGGCTTGGGAAGTCTCTCGGACTTGATCATTCCTGTCATGTGTTGACCGAACAGAAGCAGTTTGAAAAGAGAAAGAGAGAGACATAGATAAGGCCCACCGGTGCGTTTGCCGTCCCTGAGAGAAACCACCTCTCTCGCTCCCAACGCTCCCGCTTCTGTAGCCCTGTCTTGAACTCATGGCTTGAGGTAAGGCCATTTGGCTTCTCCTTATCAGATTCAAGCTAACCAATTGTCTTTGCACCTCCTCCGGTAATTGCAGTGTGAATCGGTCTAGATTTTCACCTAGTTGAACCAATGAATGTCCGGTCGTATGAGATCTAGGGAAAAATATCTCAGCCATACGCCAGCTCGACAATAACCCTGTAGATCTCGATCTAGGTGTTGTATAATTTGCATTACTATTCCATGTCACACTATTTTTTTTTTTTTTTTTTTTTTTGAATAAAATGTAAAATTTATTCGAAAAAAACTTTTTACATCTGCAGTTTTCTAAGAGTTTTTAAGTACATTAATCAAAATAAAAGAGTGATGAGAGCTTGTTCTTTATCTTGATGCGAACCACATTGCCATACAACCTTCGTATCTTTGATCTCCAAGGTCTCGTATGGAAGAGATTCTGTTCCGGATTTGCTTGTCTATCTCCCGTATCATTTGAGTTGGTGAAGTTGGAATTTCCCCATGTCTTCTTCGATTTCTTTCTTTCCATAGCGAGTGAACTGTGATTTGAAAAGTATATCTCGTCAAGAAGAGACAATCCTTTCCCATAGATTTATCTGCAAGAATCTTGAGAACCATATCCCAGCTTGTGGCAAATCTCCTCATTAGTAACTTTCTTGCTAGTCCAGACCAAACCTCTTCCGAGTATCTACACGTAAAGAACAAGTGACTGCGAGATTCCAAGGGTTCATGGCAGAGGATACATGAGGGATCCACCCCCACATTCCAACTTAACATTCTGTCACCGGTTGTTAAGCGATTTTTAATAGCAAGCCATGTTAGAATTGAGTATTTAGGTGTGGCATGTGAGAACCAAACACCTTTATACCATTCTACTTTTGCTTGTCTTTCACGAGTAGCTTCCCAAGTATCCTTTGTACTGAACGTACTTCTGAATTTATCTCCTTTCCCCTTCCAAAGTACTTTGTCAACTGCAGCACTTAAACCCTTTTCACGAAAGCTTTGTATGATCTCGTCTACTTGATTTAAAATATCACACTATTACATGCCAAGCTTCTCTCATTGGGGGCTTCTTGAACACTTCCCGTTTCAACATCCATGTTCGGATATGGAAAACTCTCGTTGGGTTTCTGAGACAGATTTGCACGACAGACCGGGCAGGTGGATCGGGAAGAGAGCCACACATCGATGCAATTGGCATGGAAAGTGTGGCTACAAGGAGGCATCCAACGCAGCGTTTCTTGATCCTCAAACTCACTAAGACAAATTGCACATTCTACTCCGCCTTTGCCTATCTTGACCCCTTTAACTTCTGAATAAAGGAAAGATGGAAAGGACTCGATGACTTCCTCCTCGAGCCCACGCCTCGCTCTAGTGTGCAACACTTCTTGGCTTGCCGCCTCAATCTCTGCACTATAGAATGTGTTGTGCAAGAAACAAGCGACCATGCTTAATGAGATAAATAATGCAAGAACCACAACTGCGATTACCGACTCGGCTGGGAAGTTTGTTTTTTTATTGCCGTCTGCGGATTCCGACACTTGTTGGCAGGTTACGTAAGGCAAATAATGGGAAAGGAAGAGCGGCAACAAAACTCTTGTTACGATCCGATAGATGAGATCTCTCGCGAAGATATTCATGATGTGAACCGCTGTTTTGCTAATCTCACGGTAGTTCACTTGATCTCCATGTCTCCGTTTATAGGTTTAGAGGGAAGAAGAGAACAAGAACAAGTTGTTATATTAAACAAATTCTGATTCGTTGAGCAATAAGATCTGCTTGTCACGACACTAAATATTGTATTACTACTATGTTAAGTTGGATTTGTTTTGGTCCAAATGATTTTTGACTTTGATGAAGTCTTTACGTTCAATGTAGACGTAGAACAAGTACTATTTCACTCATACCCTCTCTATTAACTTGTTGACTACGCAACAAGACTATTCTAACAGTTTTGACGTAGTCGTACTTGTAGACAATTGAAAATTGTAAGACTAAAACAAAAAGATAATCACATTGCCACTATAGATTGTATGGTGCGTAATCGAATCCCCTCCCGGTTTGGTTTCACTCGAGAACTTAAGTGTCAAGACATATGCTCTGTTTTAATCTCTCTAGCTCTGCTTTCTTGGTTTAAAATTTCTGAAATTCAAAAAAGAATCTGCTCAAAGCTACATATGTTGTAACAAAGGACTTTTTTGAATAAATAATTTTACATTGATTCAAAAAAAAAGATAATCTTATTCACAAAGGCACGCATCGAAGGAAAATGAAAAGTCAAAGGCTAAGAGAATTAAGGAACTACATCAGCACGACAGATAGAGATAGGACACGTGGAGCAATAAGAGAGCAGATATGTACACAGATTAGACCTTCTCTGGCATGAGGCGTTGAAACGACTGTTCCCCAAAATCTTTGTAAGCTTGAGAAGTCTCTAGCACTAGATCGTCCCTGCCAAGTCAGTAGCACCTTGAAAAGAAGGAGACATAGATATGTCCCGCCGAAGTGTTTTTTATCCCTGAGAGAAACCGCTTCTGTAGCCCTGTCTCGAACTCCTGGCTCGAGGTAAGGCGACGTGGCTTTTCAGGCCAACCAATTGTCTTTGCATCTCCTCTGGTAACTGCAGTTTGAATCGATCAAGATTCTTACCTAGTTGAACCAATGAATGTCCGGTCGAATAAGATCTAGGGTAAAATATCTCAGCCCTACGCCAGCTCGGCAATGACCCTGTAGATCTTGATCTAGTTGTTCTATAATTTGCATTATTGTTCCATGTCACATTACTACTATCTGTCAAGCTTATCTCGTCAGGGAGTTTTACTACATCTCTTCGTGCATTTCCTGTTTCAAGATCCATGCTCGGATATGGAAAGCAGTCGCCGAGTTTTAGAGACAGATTTGCACGGCATACGGGACATGTGGACTGAGAAGAGAGCCACATATCGATGCAATTAGCATGAAAAGTGTGGCTACAAGGAGGCATCCAACGTAGCGTTTCTTGATCCTCAAACTCCTTTAAACAAATTGCACATTCCACTCCGCCTTCGCCTAGCTTGAGCCGTTTAACCTCTGAATAGAGGAAAACCGGAAATGACTCGATGATTTCTTTCTCGACCCCACTCGTTTCTCCTCTATGCAATACTTCATGGCCTTCTGCTGCAAGCAATCTACGATAATAGAATGAAAATAATGCATAGAACGAGCAACAAAAGATTAAAGTGGAGACGAACAATCCAAGCAAGATTATTCCGATTGTCGTTCCCACCGAGAAATTGGTTTCTCTATCCCGGTCTGCAGATTTGGAATCTTGCTGGCAGGTTACGCGAGGTAAACGTTGGAAAACGAAGAGCAGCAATAAAACACATCCTACGATCCGATGGATGAGATCTCTCGTGAACATAGTCATGATGTGAACGGCTCTTTTATTATATCACGGTGGATCGCTAAAGTTCCAACTTCCAAGTCTCCGTTAAGAGCGAGAGAAAGAGAAGAAAAACGTTCTTATACTATACAAATTCTGATTCGTAGATCACTAAGATCTGCATGTCACGATACGAGGTTAGTTTTGTTAAATTTTGGTCCGAATGATTGATTAGTTAGATTTTATCTCCGGCGTTTTGACTTTGAAGAAGTCTTTATGTTCACGGAATCACCGTAAGCGTAAGACAAGTACATATCCATTATCCAGTGATACCCTCTCAATTACTTGTTGACTACGCAACAAGACTTTTCCACAATATTTACCCTTTATAAAAGATTTTCCTGAGTAGTACTTAAAAATAAATAAAAACTGAAAAAAGTCATTAACCAAAAATATTTTATGAATCGTTATAACATTTAATTATGGGAAATTGTTAAAAATGTCTCTTTTTCAATACCCCTTTTCAAAAATACCCCCTTTGAGAGTCCATTTTTAAGTTTGCCCTCTTTTAATTTTTAATGACCATTTTACCCTTATTTGAAACAAAATTAGGTCCACAAAATACAAAATATTTTTTTGCGGGAAAAGTGATCCCGCAATTTTCCCACCAAAACACTTGTAAAAAACTTTAAAATACCTTGTAAAATTTTCCCGTAAAAATTTTTTCCGCCAAAAAAAGTGATTCCGCAATTTTTTTGGCGGGAAAAATTTACAAGGTATTTTAAAGGTTTTACAGAGTATTTACAAGTGTTTTGTAAGGTTTTACAATGTATTTTAAAAGGTTTTACAAGGTACTTATAAGGTTTTATAAGGTATTTATAACTTAAAACCTTATAAAAAACTTGTAAAACCTTATAACTTGTAAAACCTTATAAAATAGCTTGTAAAATCTTATAATATCTTATAAATACCTTATAAATACGTTGTAAAACCTTTTAAAATTCATTGTAAAACCTTATAAATACCCTGTAAAAAACCTTTAAAATACCTTGTAAATTTTTCCCGCCAAAAATTTAACGCCAAAAAAATTGCGGAATCACTTTTCCCGCAAAAAAAAATTTTTGGCGGGAAAAAATTTACGGGAAAATTTTACAAGGTTTTTTACAAGTGTTTTGGCGGGAAAAATTGCGGGATCACTTTTTCCGCCAAAAAATATTTTGTATTTTGTGGACCTAATTTTGTTACATTTCCTTATATATTTGTGATATCTTTTATTAAAAGAAGGGTAATTTAGTCATTTTGTACATAAAAATGGGTATTTTTAAAAATGGACAGCCAAAGGGGGCATTTTTGAAAAGGGGTATTGAAAAAGGCGCATTTTTGTGAGTCTCTTTTTCACTACCATCGCGTCTCTCGGTGTAACTTTTTTATAAATTATTATTGTTAATATTTATTTACTAATATGTTTAAATAAAATTGTAACCATTTAATTTAACTATTGCACTATTTGGTTTAGTTGACGAAACATTAAAACTTTTGGTTTTATTTTATGAACCCTTGTAATTTTTAGTTTATTTGACTAACCATTGCAATTTTTGTTATATTTAATATACGACCGCATCTCGCTCTCGATATAACTTTTCAGAAAAATAATTTTTAATTACTAAAATATATAAATTTAAGTAAATTGTTGCAACCGTTTCACTTAACCATTGCAACATTTAGTTTATTTGGCGAGCCATTGCAACTTTCGATTTATTTTATGAACCATTGTAATATTTTCTATATAATATTAGCAAGTTGAATAAATGCCTTTTATACGGTTGCATCTTTTTGTCGTAATTTTTCATAATTTTATAATTGAATTTATTACTAAAATATATTTATATGACTTGTTGCAACTGTTTAGTTGAACCGTTGCAATCTTTGGTATATTGGATATATATGGTCGCGTGTTTTGGTTATAGATAGATTTAAATGAATTATTGTTACAGTTTAATTGAATCATTGCAATATTTTTTATATGATGAATTATTGCAACTGTTTGTTTATATTATGAACCGTTGTAACCTTTAGTTTATTTGATGGAATAGTTGTAATTTTTAAAATATTTAAAGAACCGTTGTAACTTTTAATATATTTGATGAATTATTACAACTTTTAATATATTTGATAAACGTTACAATATTTACCCTTTAAAAAAGATTTTTGTATGTGGTAGTTAAAGATAAATAAAAACAGAAGAAAAAAATCACTAAACAAAATTATTTTTCGTGAGACCACAAAGTTTTGGAACACCAAAAAACAAAAGTTTTCTTTTTGTTTTTGGATAATATTATGTCGATTCATAGTAACCATCATCTCTCTATTTTATGGAATTTTTTTAAGCGTTGGTCAAGATTGGGCTCATTATTTTTCCTCAATCAACTAACCTAACTTAGTTTGAGATCGAAATTGTATTGGCAGATTTTATTATAGTCCCTTATAATAATAGTGGTCCCAACAAATACCTTTAAAAAATGTAGTTCTTAAAAGAAATATTTGTTTGCTATTTTTTATAATTGTTTAAAATATTATAAAGAAAATGTCACTTTCTTTCTATTAATTGTTTATTTTGTCATTTTACATTGAGGGGTGCGTCTCTTTACTATAAATTGTTTTATAATCATGTTTTATTATTCTTCTTTTCCATCATCTCTCTGTTTCAGATAGTTGTATATTACTACTAATAATTGTTTAAATGCCTTATAAAACTATAAATATCTTATAAACCTCTAATAAAATTATATAAATAATTGAATTGAGTCTCCGAATAGTAGTTACTAGTTACCATCGAGAAATACCTTATAAAATATATAAATCTATTCAGGTTTAATGCTAAGCGAAGCATTTTTTAAAATAGATACAACAAAAGGGAAACAATTTCCCTTTAAAAGTTATAAAAGTGTTTCAGAGAGTCACATTTTTTTACCTTTTTTTTTTACAAATATTCTTCATGTAATTTTTTTACTATGTGCGTTTATTTACCACTCATATATTTTCAACTTTAGTTATTGTTAATTTAGAAACAATAGTTCACTTATACATATTAATTGTTTGAAAGTATTTAAAAATTTAGTAAACATATATTATTTTAATATTGAGTTTTTAAGAATTATTGATTTAACAAAATATTTTTGGAATTTAATTTTATCACTTACCTACTTTGGACTGTCTTATTTCTTTAGTTATGAGTTATGACAAAAAAAACATAAATCCAATGATAGAAATAATTTGTGGTTGAAGTCTCGTAGGCGAAAAAACAGAAAAAGATAAAGAATAAGAAAGTAAAAGGTAAGATAGACAAAAAAACTCAAACCCCTTGTAGCAAAAAAACACTATTTGGTCAAAAGTTATTTTTTAATTCTTTTTCACCTTTGTTTTACCCGTTTTAGATTTAATTTTCACAAAATTAAAAAGCTATCCAATTTCTTTTCCAAAAATTTTAAATCTATATAATAATAACAATCCGAATAAATGATTTTTGTAGTTGTAAAGAATTGTGTCTTTTCTTATCGTAACCTTTCGTTTTTTTTATAAACTAAAAAATATATTTTAGGATTATTTTTTAAGAAAGTTCCAATCCAAATAAATGTTTTATATGGTAACTTCAACCAACAAAGAGCATTTCTCGAGTGGACTTGCAAAGGTTTTAGCATAAAAATGGCAAGTTGACGTAATGCTCAAGGCAAAGAATAGTGATGAGGGTTCAACTATCTCTGCCGACATCAAGATCGGAGGTTTTTAAGAAGATGTTGGAATTAGACGAGTTTAATGTAACATCCCAAATCTAATATCCAGTCCATTAAGGCCCAATGGTTAAACGACAAAGGGTATTGTACGTGTTGTGTGTATATATCTTCTCCTTCATTAGCCGCAGAGGGGAAAAAGTTTGAGCAACCCTAATACCATACCTCTCTCAGCGACGGAGCTCACCATCATCACTGTTGTTGTCATGTTGTGACCACCACTGTTGCGTTATTGTCGTTTGGTCGGAGTTTGAGCCACTGCTGTTCGTGTTCGATCGGCTCCGTTCGGTGAAAGGAGATAAGTGGCCATGAGAGATGCTCTGGTCAAAAGTGGAGAGAAAAAGAAAACTAGATTGGAGCAGTGAGAAGTGATTGTGGAAGAAGAGAGGGAAGGAGAGAAACAGATGAAAAGAGAGAGCCATGAAGAAGAGAAGACAACAGCCGAGAGAAAGAGAAGAGACGTAGCGGAGATGGTAGAAACTATTGGCGGTGGAGGGACGAATATCGGTCTAGATTTTCACCTAGTTGAACCAATGAATGTCCGGTCGAATGAGATCTAGGGACGAATATCTCAGCCATTCTCCAGCTCGACAATAAACCTGTAGATCTCGATCGAGGTGTGGTATCATTTGCATTGTTTTTCCATGTCACACTATTACCTGCCAAGCTTATCTCGGTGGAGGGTTCTTGAATACCTCTCTGTGCATTTCCCGTTTCAACATCCATGTTCGGATATGGAAAGCTTTCACCGGGTTTCAGAGACAGATTTGCTCGACAGACCGGGCAGGTGGATCGAGAAGATAGCCACACATCGATGCAATTAGCATGGAAAGTGTGGCTACAAGGAGGCATCCAACGTAGCGACTCTTCGTCCTCAAACTCAGCTTAAGCAAATTGCACATTCTACTCCGCCTTTGCCTATCTTGAGCCCTTTAACTTCTGAATAAAGAAAAGTTGGAAAAGACTCGATGACTTCCTTCTCGAGCCCGCGCCTCGCTCTAGTGTGCAACACTTCTTGGCTTGCCTCCTCAATCTCTTCCCTATAGAATGTGCAGTGCAAGCAACAAGAGACCATGCTTAATGTTATAAATATTGCAAGAACCACAATTGCAATTATCGATTCTGTTGAGAAATCGGTTTGTCTATTGGGGTTTGCGGATCCCGACTCTTGCTGGCATGTAACGTAAGGCAAAAGATGGAAAAGGAAGAGCGGCAATATAACACTTGATACGACCCGATGAAGGCGATATCTCGTGAAGATATTCATAATGTGAAGTGTGAACGTCCTCAATAAGATTCTGATTCTGATTATAGCGAGAGAAAGAGAAGAAGAAGTTGTTATACTTTAGAACTGCTCGTCACGACAGTAAATATTGTATTACTACTATGTTAAGTTAGATTTGTTTTGGTCCGAATGATTGGTTTGGCTTCTTCCTCCAACGTTTTGACTTTGAAGAAGTCTTTATGTTCTTGGTAGACGAAGAACAAGTACTACTCCCGTACATGCCTTCTCTATTAACTTGTTGACTACGCAACAAGACTTTATTTGACAGTTTTGACCTAATCCTTACTTTGTAGACAACTGAAATAGAAGTACTAACACAAAGATAACTGAAATAGAGAGATATGACACATAAATCTCTACATCAGCACGAAAGATATGACACATAAAGCGATAAGAGAGCTAATGTCTACACAGATTAAACCTTCTCTGGCATGAGGCGTCCCTCAGAGAAACCGCTTCTCTCGCTCCTATAGCCCTGTCTCGAACTCATGGCTCGAGGTAAGGCCGTGTTGCTAATCCTTATCAGATTCAAGCTAACTAATCTTCTTTGCATCTCCTTTGGTAACTGTAGTGTGAATCGATCTAGATTCTTACCTAGTTGAAGGAATGAACGTCCGGTCGAATGAAATCTAGTTTCGTCTGGGGGTTCTAGTACATCTCTTCTTTCATTTCCTGTTTCAAGATCAATGATCGGATATGGAAAGCTTTCACCAGGTTTGAGAGACAGATTTGCACGACAGACCGGACATGTGGACCGAGAAGAGAGCCACACATCGATGCAATTAGCATGGAAAGTGTGGCTACAAGGAGGCATCCAACGTAGTAATTCTTGATCCTCAAACTCACTTAGACAAATTGCGCATTCTACTCCGCCTTTGCCTATCTTGAGCCCTTTAACTTCTGAATAAAGGAAAGTTGGAAAGGACTCGATGAGTTCCTTCTCGAGCCCACTCCTCGCTCTATTTTGCAACACTTCTTGGCTTGCTGCTTCAAGCTCTGCTCTATAGAATGTGTGGTGCAAGAAACAAGCGAGCGTGGTTATTGAGATAAATATTGCAAGCACAATGATTGCAATTACCGATTCCGTCGGGAAATTGGTATTTCTGTTGCGGTTTGCGGATTCCGACTCTTGTTGGCTCGTTACGTAAGGCAAAAAATGGACAAGGAAGAGCGGCAACAAAACCCTTGCTTCGATCCCATAGATGAGATCTCTCGCGAAGATAGTCATGATGTGAACCGTCCTTTTGCTGTACGGTGGATCACTTGAGCTTCATGTCTAGAGCGAGAGAAGGGAATAAGAACAAGCCGTTGTTATAATACTAAACAAATTTTGGTTTGTACTCGTCACGACAGTACATATTGTATTACTACTAGGTTTAGTTTCATTTGTTTTGGTCGGAATGATTGGTTTGGCTTCTTCCTCTAACGTTTTGACTTTGAAGAAGTCTTTACGTTCACTGTAGACGTAGAACAAGTACTACATAACTCATGCCCTCTCTATTAACTTAGACTATTCCAACAGTTTTGACCTAGTCTTTATTGGTCAGTCACATCCTCTGATGTTTACGTCCTCTCAATGGGATGTGAAGGACCAATAAGGTTTATGTATTTGGTGCTAGATCATTCGGACCAAAACAAATATTGTATTACATCACATGATTAACTAATTAAAGGTATGGCCGGTCTGTGAAACACCGTCAGATGCATCATGCATGATGCATATATCACAACGTTTCGTTAACTTGTCACTAATTGCGTATATATATATACATTTTTGTTGTATACAGAATAATAGGTGGTCCCTCTTCAAAGCCAAAAATAGATGTGTTATGTGTAACACATGAACAAGTAACCAAAGAGATAAACTATGTTTTGTCATTTTCTAGTCTAATTCATCATGATGACATTGAGATCTTTAGATACACAAAGGAAAACAATTGATCGATCCTACAAATATGGAAACTGAATATTGAAAATGAGAAAGTGGAATTATATATGGAGATCGAGCTCATATATCTAAGGAGAGACTCTTATCTAATTATTATGGAAACCATAAAATGATTCTTCTTTTCTTCATAACCGACTTTCTCCTGTTAGAAAAGTGCTGTTGTGGTTTGTTTATTTATTTTATTTTTTTTGTCAACCAAACATTAATTAAAAAGTCATTCCATAATTGGTAATCTAATCTGAAGAAATAGTGTTTACAAATAAAATTTTTAAAAAATAAAAATTATGTAGAGTAAAAAAGTTCTTGACTTAAACACTCGTTTACATAACTCTTTATAATAGTGTATTAAAATAATATTTTAACAAAATAAAACTCAAAAGTCACGAGTTCTAAAATCGAGGGTAAAAAATAAACAATTTTACATACGTTTTGATCATAAGAATTATTCAAAATCTAAATCTCTACCACTCAACCAAGCTACACAAATCAATAGCACCATTTTAAACAACAATTTAATATGCCTTTTATAGTTTTATTCCTTTGTAGATTATTTTCTTACATGGAGTAGTATCATCATTACGGTTGGTAAAAATATCAACACTATGATAATCTTATTTACAAAGGCAAAGTATGTAACGCAAAATGCATAGTCAAAGGCTAATCAAGAAACTCGTTTAAAAAGGAACTACATTAGCACGACAGATAGGACATGTGGAGCTATGAGAAAGCCAAATGTCTACACAGTCAGCATGAAACACATGTACACAAGGTGGTACCAAACGCAGCGTTTCATCGTCTTTGAATTCATTCAAACACACAACACATTCTAGCTCGCCTATTCCTGGCTCAATCCCTCTAGCTTCCGTGTAAATGAACGAAGGAAACGACTCGATGGCTTCAGCGTCAAGCCCTCGCGGTGGCCTCCTCGGACTCATTCCAGATTCCCCCATGTCCTCGGCTGCCGCGGCCTGGTCTCTGCATCGCCGAATGTAGTAATTAATGCAATAAAACGCTATGAACCCGACGCTTGCTAACGCAAAAATAATTGCTCCTTCGTTTCTTTTGAAGTATGACATGTTGTGGATTTTAACATCTTCTTGAGTTTTGTAATGGGAAGAGGTAAAGGAAGAAGAAGAAGAAAGAGGGAGACGTGGGGTTCACGTCTTCTTCTTAGTTTCTAGGTAATTTCCACGCGCCACCGTGTTTCTTTGTGTTTCATAATAAACAAGTGCAATGACTCTTGCACTTTCCCATGTTGCTAATATTTTTTAGTTTCTCAATTAGACTAAACTAATTTGACGGAATCTAAATGAGATTGGTTAGTTTTGAGATATAGTTTTGAATATGTCCATTTGTAAACATGTTATTCATAATCACATACAATATATATCAATCTTAGTTTGAATTCAAATTCCAAAAACTCTAATCTTTTAATTTACAAAAACACAAAATTTTAATAAACATGATTTTGGACTCAAAACCAATTGGCGATGAGTAAAGAGGCTCATGTATTATATATTAACCCACAAATTTTTCATCTCTCAATGTGGGATATAATCTAATATAGAATAATAAATAATAGTAATAATAATTATATATATGAAAATTGGTCAGCTCTTTCCATATGAGTATCACATCATCACACAAAAAATGACATGTGTCATTCTACATTATTTAAAAGAAAATTAGCCAAATTAAATGAGAAAAAATTAAAAATTCTTTATAACATTAAATCTTACATCAATTCTATTCTTAAGCGATTTATTCAAAATTAAAAAATAGAAATATAAAATTATGTTAATAAAAACACTACTTTCATTATACTCTTATTTTACTAAAAACAAATTTATCAATGGTCACCACTCGATAATGAATAAAACTTTATTTTTTGGTAATTTAGTTGTTTGTTACCTAAACTCTTATTAGTTTAGTATTTTTACGTTGAGTCTTTCTCATTTTACGTTTTGTTGTTCATATATGACTCATCATATGGTTTTTTCTCTTTTTATTTTGGTGTCTTATGGTAAGTTGGTAACATTGACATGCAAGTTTTTTCAAGTGATGGGCCTTTGAGATGTTAGACATACCAAAAAATTCAAAACACGACTTTTCTCTTATATGGCTATATGCAATGATAGAAGACCGCTAAAAATGTTGACTTAAATGATATTTTATTTTTCGCTTTCTTTTTATTATTTTCATAAGAAAACTTTTGAGATCTTGTTCAACTTATGTCTATCCAGTATCTAATAATGCATCTATCACGATGTGATTGGAGTAATAGATTAGGAGAGTACAAAGAAAAAGAAATTGTATTTATAATCAAGTTAGGCGAGTTTCACATCACACAAATAACATAATTACATATAATTGTATAAAAATATCTTATATTATTTTTGTATGTATTTATGATGGTGAAAAATACTAGGATCTTAGAATTTCAAATAATTATATTTATATATGAAAATGTATAAATCGATATTTCAAGTCAAAAATAAATCTAATCATAAAAATTGTAACTACATAAGATGAATTTAATTTTATTAACTACACAATAACAAATAAAAAAGTAAACAAAAATTAGCAATAAGAACAATCAGCATAATTTGTTCTTAATAATTTTTAAAACAAACTCACGCGTAGCGTGCGTATTCATCTAGTAATTTGAACTCTCAAATCCAAAAAAAATGACTAAATGAATAACATAAGATTTTAACTAGATGAATTGTTTTTTTTGATCTCACCCGCGCTACGCCGCAGTTTTTTCTGATTTTTTTTATTGTTTTGTTTAATGTTATGTTTTGATAATGTAATTTTTAATCATTTAATCATTCATTCATGCAATGAGCAATTACTCTTAGTATTAAAGTACTTTTGTAGCAACATTCTCAACAATGCATCATACACACAATCTTTAAACAATCTTCGCCTTAAACAAATTTTATAGATGGTAATATTGGGATTATAGAAACCTCAAAATTTGATAATGGAGCTCTTTACGTACTCCTCACATTCAGTGGTATATTATATAAATAAAAATTTAAGAAAATAACCTTATCAAACCATTACCTAATCCACTAAACTATTATTCATTCATACTTTGAGTTAAGATTACAAAAATTAGCGAGAAAAAACATGAAAAACAATAAAATAATTTATTTATATAAGAATAAATAGAGTAGTTATTAGTACAATTAATATGTAAAATTAAAGAATATATACTATTAAATAATAAATGTATCATTAACTTATAAAATAGAAGATGTAGAGCTTACATTAAATATAACTAGGGTAAAAACCCGCGCTCCGCTGCGGGATATCTTTTATAAATTATTTTTGTTACTAATGACTTTTGCTTAAACTAAGATTATGTAGTACAAAGTTCACAATGAAATTTGTATTTTTTGGTTTAGACAATGAAAGTTGTCTTCCTTTTTTTGTAATACAAACAAAAGAGTATCCAAACTTGAATTTAAACAATACACAAATACGAAACTTGAATTTAATATAAATATGATTTGTAAAACTTAAATAAAATTTTAGAATTTGATGGTTGACAGATCATTTTCACCACTTCATCTCATTTAAAAACTTTATTTTGAATTTCAAATCAAATAAAACAAATTAATACACAGATATGAGAAGGTGACCGTGACACATTACTTAAGAAATCAATACACAAAATTCTTCTTCTCTTCGTCTACCGGCCTTGGATTCATTAACTTCAACATCTTTACAAAATTGCTCCACCTTCATCTTTAATCAACATTAACTAAATTGACCAAACGAACAATAGTGTATATATATGTACGGAAGAAGTGTATAAGCAGAGGTAGATGAGAAATTCCGACAAGTTTTCGGTAGATCCCATGGTACTTGCACAATCTCTCCTTCATTCTTTAGATAGATACAAATACAATTGTGGATGTATTAATATTATACAATTGTCCAACCATCTCAAGAAATTCAATATGCATTACACGCTTGATACTTGATTGATTTAACTATTCCTAAGACCAATAGAATATATTACGTAAAGATCATCTATGGTCTCACAAGTCACAATACATGCATTCAAACTTTGGGGTGGACAACAATAGTTCCAGACCTAAATTATGACATTTAGGCAAAGTGAAATACACGGGAAACCTGAAGTGTAAGTAAATAAAACATTAATAATTCTAGAATCATTAATCTATATCTCTGTCCACATGAAATATTTTAACAACCATATTTTCCATTAAACGACTGCAAACACTGATAAAGTATAGGTAGCACTCCAATATATAAAGTACGCAGCTGTTATTTGCTAATTAAATGATTGATTTCGAGCAATTGTGTACTTTTGAAGTATTCTTTACACGAGTCTCAACAATAAGTACTACCAATTCAAAACTTCCATAACTAAAATAAGTTGTATAAACCTACCATAACTCCCTGTCGATGAAATGCCTACAACACTACCAACAATGACAAGGAAAGAAAGATCTAGATGGTAATGAAAGCAAAAAACAATGTTGGGGAAGGACACTATTTTTTTTTTTTGGTAAAAGGGAAGGACACTATTTGAATCATGTTTGGAAAATAAGATGGTACTCCCAGTACTCTTTAAATCTTAACCAATAACAAATTTTGTCGGTGATTTTTCTGGTAGTTTAAAGTGGTTATTAGAGCTCCTTCCGATGGCAAATCGATTCGACAACAAACCTTGTCGGCGAAGGCAAAACAAAAAAATAATCTTCGTCTCTCCACGTTTTCAAAGCAAACAGCGAAGGCACTTTCTTTAAAGAGGTAAACGGCGAGCACCGGCGGTTGGGGTAGGAGTAGCGGCTGAAGGAGTGGAGGAAGAGTGGTGCTGAGAGTGACGAGGAGATGAAGGATGGTGGATCTTGATGTTAGGGAGATGTAGATAATCAGATTATGGATTCATGATCTCTTTTTCTTCTTCTTCTCTGCTTGATTCAACAGATTTATAGAAACTTTTATTTTTTTTCCGATCGAGAGGAAGATGATGACGAAGAAGAAGAGACAGCCGTGTTTTGTCAATTTTAATTAGTCTCTCCATGTTTTCAACACTACTTTATCAAGTGGGCTTTTACTTTTGGGCTTTGTTATTTTATTTTTTTCGTCATACTTTTGGGCTTTGTTACTTTTTTTTGTTTTTGTGTGTTTTTAATAATATGAAACAAGAGAAAAAGGGGAGAGAAAGAGTGACGTGGCAGAATAGAAGATTATTATTGACAAATAAAGTTGGACTTGTGTACTTTTGAAGTATTCTTTACACGAGTCCCAACATTGTTTTTTGCTTTCCTTGTCATTGTTGGTAGTGTTGTAGGCATTTCATCGACAGGGAGTTATGGTAGGTTTATACAACTTATTTTAGTTATTATTGACAAATAAAGTTGAGCTGTATTATTTAAAATGTTTTGATTAGAGTTTCTTTTTAATGATGTGTCATAACCAGGAAAGCTGAAAATGCTGATATGTCAGATTAGGAGAGAATCCAATTGTTATTATTGTATTAATCCTATTGTTATTTTGAAATTTTTTATTTAATATAACTAAATAAAATTTTATAATTTAATGTTTTATTTGTATTTAAATTGTAATTATTTTTACTTCTAGGGATTAGTTTTTTATTTATGTAATTAGACTTTGTAATTATAATTATAGTCTCTATTGCCAATATTAATATCTAATGAAAAGATGATGTTTCAAAAGTAAAATTCTAGTATATTTTTCAGTTTTTAATTTATTTTCGTAGCAAAGGTTATTTTTTGAATTTTTTCTTTAGTGATTTGCTATAATTAAATAAAATTTTTGAACTTAATGGTTTACTTTTATACCACTCAGAACCAACTAAATAACTTTATTTTTAAAAAACTATCTTTATTTTCAATGACAGTTTTCAAAAATGTCACATTTTTAAACCTTATAAAAAATGCTCCAAACAATATGAAATTTACCCAAATACATATGTAACATTATTAAAACATATACAAACTATCTTTATATGTATCTAAAATCTTATAAATACCGTATAAAACCTTTAAAAACCTTTAAAGAATATAAATTAATTTATATAATTTAAATCTTATTAATTATT